TTTTCCTTGATCTCAAACATTTATAACTTCTTTTTCTAGAAGGGCAGATTAATATGACACTTAGACACAAGAATCCACAACAAAATTTTCCCAGTCACATATTATCAATAGCTTGTAAACTTTGAAATCGAATCAATCAATCAATCAATACTATAGAAACCCCTTAATATGCAGGATGGGAAATTCTTTTTATGCTTATGAATAACACCAATTAAACGAGTAGTTATTGCATGTGCAAAACGTAAGCTGGTATTTTAGAGGGGTATGATGAACTGTTTCTAAGCGATGAGAACAGGGGAGAGGGCTGCCGTGGGAACCTGAGCAGGAGAGGAGCTGGGCTGTACAGATTAAGTCGCTTGTCAAATGTTAAAGTGTCTTTGAACCAAACGCTGAGGAGCTATAACTTCAAGGTGATGTATCAGTACATTAGTGACTTAATCCAACATCATGCTAGATAGATATGCAACTATGCAATTACCTTGTAGATACTCTCTAATTGTAGATAGAGAGTAGAGGGTATCATGAGCTATTTTTAAAAACACATATTTTAAAGGCCGAGAGAGATGCAAACAAAGAAAGGGAGAGGGAGAAAGAAAAAGAGAAAGATCACCCACCCTGGTTCTCTTCACCAATGCCTGTAACGACTGAGGATGGACCAGGCAGATGCTGGAAGTCAGGAACTCAGTCGAGATCTCCCACGTAGGTGGCAGGAACCCAAGCACTCCGTCACCTGCTGCCTGCCAGGGTGTGCTTGGACATAAGCTTTGTTTACTCGGGAAAGCTTATAACCCAATTGAACAGCAGACGAATGTGCATGCGAAGATCTTGACATCTTCCATGAACAGAAACCAAATCAGAACCTCCTACTTTCCTTCAGATGTTTTTACATGTCCATGTATGATGTTGAGCAATTACTCAGTCATGTCACAATCCCACTTCCTGACTCAATCTCCAGCTGCAAAAATTAAGACGAAAAACTCTCCACAAAAAGCAATCATCACAAAGAATTGAACCTTCTTTGGATAAAAGTTTAAAAACAAATCACTTTGATTTATTACCATCCCAGTTAAGACTGCGACAAGGCTTACATCTTGTTGACAACAATTTGTATGTCTTTATTCCACAAACATGACAGGACATATTGTCAAAACAGATAAACTTTGTAATACAGTAAAATTATAATGGAACCGATCATTCACATTAAGTCAGCAAACTCGACAACTATAATTATTGTGTTTTCCAGAAAACCTCTACAAATACTCAACACAAAATTGGTCAGATTAAACCTTCTCTTTCTTTTTCCTTGAGGTCAGTTTCTTACAGCAATGACAAAGTTGAGATTCTTTGAGGTTCCAAGGCTTTGAGGTATGAATGTACATGAAGCCCATTCAGTTGCTTCACTTTGACTGCTATTCAAATTCTGGCTAATTCACATTTTTAGATTACAGAGGTAAGCCAGAAAACAAAGCAAATCAAACCATAGTCAATGAATTATTCACATAATTTCTACTGTCCTCATAATAGATTTTTTTTCCCCTTCAGTAGGTATGAGGTGTTGATTGATTTGTGAATAGGCATTTGAAAGTCAGATTGTCAGTCTGGAAATTTGGAAGATATTTACTACCAAAAATGTTAGCTTCCAGATTAAGAGAAATTAATTCCAGTCCTTGTTCATTAGAGATGCATCTTACTTTCTAGATTTTAAAGCAGCGGGTTCTCCAGTTTGCCCATCGCTATTAATTACCTAGACATTTTGGTTATATGAGAGCTAGATCACACACACAAAAAAAAATTATCGTTAGAATCAAAACAATCTTTGTTTTTCACCTATTTTCCAACATCCAGGCAAAGGGGGGTGGTATCACAGAAACAAAAGTCCAACAAAAAACGAATCTCCCACTGAAAAGGACATATTTCATGGAATGAATTTCAGAGGAAGTTAGTTAAGGAATGAGGGGTAGCTTACAGCAAGGCTTAAAGTTAATTCTCTTCTAGCTTCTCTTTCCAGAAATAGTACAGGAACGATTCGAAGCATCCTTACTAATCCAGCTGGTTTTGAAGAAAAGCATTTCGAGGTGGCAGCATTATCATTTCTCTCGCGCGAGAAGATAAAAATGATTTCAGAGGCAGCATGGAGATTGGGAAGCTGGGAGTGAGGCCTCGGGCCTGGGAATCAGAACAGAACCCTATGCTGCCTGTTCCCTTCGCCCCGCGCCATGAGAAATGGGCACACACTTCTTCCAGAGTCAACCTCAACAGAAGACATTGGGAGAGCTGACAGCCGTCCTTCACCAAAGATCACACGTTTCCTCTAGCTGCTCCCTGCTCCTGCCACCAGCAGAAATAGAAAACTAAACTGAGTTTATGGAAGAGTGAGACCGGAACCATGAATTCACCCCTCCCACATCCCAGGAAATGGTATTCCGGTGGGAAACTACGCATTCTGTAAATGACTGGGAAAAAGTAAATTTAAGGCATGAAAATAAAGCAAACATCTCGAATTATAAAAAGGAAAGAAGGAAGAAAGGAGGAGTGGGAGAAGGAGAGATAGCCACATTTTAAAAATAAACAAAGAAAATCCCATTAAGTACTTCCCATTGTTCATTTTAAAAGGAGGGGCAGTGAGAGGGAGTTTTTCACATGCTGGTTCACTCCCCAAGCTGGGTCTGGGCTTCATTCAGGGCTCCCACATGGATGGAAGGAACCGAAAGACTGAAGCATTACATGCTGTTTCACAGATCCATTAGAGAGGAGCTGCATCAGAAATGGAGCAGCTGGGACAGGAGCTCACATTTCAACATGGGACATAGCTATTGCTCAATCTGCTGCATCCCAATGTCCACTTCTCATTTTGGTTCTAGAAATATTCGTGCATATAAGTGGTATCTCATTTGTGACTTTCATTTATGTTTTTCTAATGACAAATGATGTTTACTCTCTGTTTTAAAAAACTGCTTCTTTGAAAGGCAGACTGACAGAGGGAGAGAGACTAAAGACGAGAGATCTTCCATTTGCTGCTTAACTCCCCCGAAGGGTTATAACACTTCAGGCTGGGACAAGCAGAAAGTTGAGTCAAGAGTTCTACCTGAGTTACCCACTGAGTTAGGAGGGTCCAGATTCTTGGGCCATATTCTGCTACCCTCCAAAGCACACCCACAGTAATCTGGATCAGAACTGGAATAGCCAGGAATTGAACCAGCACCCTAACAAGGAATAAAGGCATCAAAAGCAGCATAACTGAACTTGCTGTGTCACAGTGTGACCTCAGCGTGGACTAGCATGTTGTGTACTTACTGGCTATTGGTATATTTTCCTTGCCAAATACCTAGTTCAAACTCTTTGCTTGTTTTTCCATTGCGTTGCTTTTTTATCTGAGTTGTAGGAACCATTTACATACTATGATATGAGAATTTAATCTGATATGATTTGAAAATATCTTCGCTTTATTATGAGGGTTGATTACGTTTATGTTCCTTTCTGTGATGAAGCCCCAAATTATTTAATTTTAATGAGAGGCAGAAGACAAAATGAGGGAGAATGAGAACTCTCGTGGGCAAGTGTGCTGCAAACTGTGTACAATGACTGGGCGTAGGCTCTGGTTGCAGCCAGTAAGTCCATCAAGTCTCCTGTGAGGACACTGCAAACCCCACTTGCTTGGGCTATTACCACTGTGCCCCAGGTTTTACAATGGCCAGAATCTGGAGTTAGGAGCCAGAAGTAGAATTTCAACTTCAGCACTCTAATCAGGAATGGAGATGTCTTTAACTCGAGGTTGAAAGCCTACTGTTTCTTGATGATATGGTCCATTTTTTTTCTCTTTTCTCTCTTGTGTTCTTGGTGTCGTATCTTAGAACCACTGACTAATTCAATGACATGAAAGATTTCTTTTAAACAGATGACTTCCCAATAATTTCATAGTTTTGTTTCTTACGTTTGTGTCTTTGACTCATTTGGGAGTATGTTTTTATGCGGTGTGAGGAACGGATCCAAATTCATTCTTTAATATGCACACATGCAGTTGTCCTGGAATTGATACAGTCAATTCCATATTTCCTGGGTTTCAGAGGAACTAGGACACACATGACAAAGGGCTACTTTTGTTAAGTCAACAACACAGCATGTCTATAACTAAGTGAGGTTAGTTCCCATACCCTTCTCTCTAGTGACAGCTCCCTTCACAGACTAATTTATTTTACCTGTTAACATCTTAAGGTAAATAAAACATAAACACTTTTTAAAAGGAGTGAAAGAAGGTATCGTGAGTTCAAGGTTGGAACTGCTATTAAATCATTAAACAGATCATTTGCTCTAAGATTTCCTAGTCTTTGCGATGCTGATAAGAGCTATAAATTGTCAAGTGTCCTACATTTTCTATGGGGGTCATTAAAGTTCTGTTTGTGCTCTATTCGGTAGGGCTCCAAATAGTAAAATATAAGAAAATAAAGCAGTGCATCTCTACTTACGTGATTTCTTTATTTTTTATGTGACTGGGGAAGGGCAGGAGTGAAGGATGCAGAATCTGAAACATGAGAGAGTGGTCTGAAGCTGACTGGTTCTGGGCAGCAGACGTTGCTCAGAGGTTCAATCCCTGAGAAAAGGGAGTTCAAGACACTGGTCCTCACAGAGCATCCCTGTTGGGCACCATTCTTTAAAAAAATAGGCTATGTGAAACATTTTCAGAATAAATCAATTTGTGCTCACCCCATTTAGTCGTTGCCTTTGAATATGGAGACACGAGTAGAAACTTACAAGGTTTTTCCTTCTTCCCAGCTTTGGGCTGCAAAGAGGCAATCACTGAGCAATCATGAGTCACCTATTGCCAATCGCATATGATTTTCAGGTCAGATGAGATTTAGTTTAGCAAAAATGATGAGGAAAACCAGTGAGGACAACAAAGATGTGTTCAACATTGAAGGAAGTTGAAGAGAGAAAGTTTGCATGTGTGTATGCACACAGGAACAGACACATGCGCCCAGACACACAGACAGTTTCTCCCCAAAATAGCCACATTCTTTTATTTGATGAGTTTCATACAATTTTAATTAAAATAGTCACCACATAACCTAGGCACAATAGAAAGCATTTTACAAGCAAAGAATTTTTTTTTTTTTACCGGGTTTCTTGTCCATCGCCAAAGAGTACAGTAAGTGGACTGGTTAAAGGCTCTACCTCTGTACATAAAAATATCCATGTATTTATACAAGTGTATGGAACAGAGTTTAAAGATAATAAAACTGTAACATCGCAATAAATAGAATGTGTCCCTACAGCACAGTAGAGTATGCTTTGTCAGGGAGCTGCCAAGTCTTTGCTTCAACGTGTTTTATGTCCTGTTGAGCCAGGCTCACAGTTTGCCCACAATTGCTAGGTTAGCAATGACTGTGTGTCTATTTCCATATGTGTTTCCTTGCATCTCCAATGAGAGGGGTGGAAGATAAATCATTGAATTCTTTTTCAAAAAAATAGGTTACCAACTTACCAATCTGTGGACCTCCCACTTCTTTTTTTTTTTTTTAAAAACGTAGGTTACTCTAAGCTCTAGCACCATACAAAAATGAAATACATGTGTTTTTGTCAGAGCAACAATATTTTATATCATCTTTGTTCCTCTGGCTATAACCATTCTTTTTAGAAAAAAAAATTACCACGCTAAAAATAGTTGATCTAGGTTGTCATACAAAAGAATATTAAATACCTTTGGTAAAAATAGATATATTTAACAAGATTAGAAAAGACAACAGTTATAATGTCAAAACGAGAATATAAAATGTACACAATAAAACAAATAAACCAACTTTAGATAAAGTGAAGATAAGGCCACTCTTTCAAGGTCTGCCTCTTCCAAACCGTCAGCATAGTTCTTTTCTTTTAAATGGCAGAGGTTCTGTTAAGAGATATGGAAAATCCAGTCTTTCTTTTCAGCAAGACACGTGTGTCATTCCTAACAACAGGTTCCTTTTTAAAAACCAAGCTTGTAGAACATAGAAAATTCTGGTTTACATATGTGAATATAAGGGAACATTTCCAGATCTTCTGTGATTTGAGGCTCAGGACAGCAGGGTTGTGAAGGGGGCAGCAGGAGTCCCTACTCACAGTCCCTCTGTCCTATCTCGTCACGTAAGTACAGAAGGCAGCTAGTGACATGGGAACATGGTGACTCTGGAACCAGCGAATGGTCCACAACACTTGACTTTTTTCCCAGGATGGAAGAGCTTTTCTCTGTCCTTTGGGCCTTCTCTTAAACCAGCTGTTGCACAACTCCTAATTCCTGTGGTATCTCCTCTTGCAGAATGCGCTGCAAATCCTGAAGATGGAAGGATCTTGAAGCAAACAAGTGAGGTTATGGATGGAGATCATGCCTAAGTTCTCTATCGCATCAGCTGCTCGGTGCAGCTCCAGGAAAGGGCCAGGGGCGTGCCTTTACCCCCCAGTGTTCCCTCTGCACACACAGTCACACGCCTCGTGATGCTCCAGCGCCACATCCGTGAGCGATTTATGCAAACCCCTGACGCCGATCTTTGGTCTCAACTGAAGGACCTGGAAAGGAACAAGGGAAATTCACCTTTACAACGAATGTCTGTAAATACTGATTTCATGCATAAGAAATGCTACAGAAGAGAATGGTGGGCCACGCTAAGACAAGCTGTCTGACTTCCAGTGAACAGGACAGGCTTTGAATAAACTCCCTACCGAAGCACAACTGCAGTGTCAGCGCCACTGCTCGACATGACCTTGTCCACAATGTGGAATCTCACGGAGTTGGAACAAAGAACACACGTTACCTGGGAGGACTCCTAATGAAACTCTGGATTCCGCTTATCTAACTGTACGAGTGAAAAATTTCACCTCAAGAATTTTGGAGCTACTAAGGCACAAGGCATTTTTCGGCTTGTTGGATTCTTCTCCCATTCATTTATTCCCACGTTTAATAAATATTTATCCTTGAAGCCATGCACTCAAGTACAGGAGTACTGTGCAAAGAAACATGATCACGGCACAGCTGAGCCTGCTCAGTGATGCCACTCATTAATTTTCTTGGCTACACTTCAAGTCCTCTATAAACTTGATGAGATGGATTAGATGTACTTCATAGACACCGGTTTCAGTCACAGCTCACTTTGTGCAGCTGGATCCTACTGTGCACTTCAAGGAGGTTTCCGTTCGGATGATGGAGATTTCTAATAAACACACACACAGAGCAAAACAGACGCCAATACTGAACACATTTTCTTTTCAGCTCTACAATGAAGGGATGTGGCTGTGCATTTTATTAGGGACTTCAGTGTTTGACAGTAGTTACACATCCAAGCATATTGAATTCTTTCTTATTGTGGACATGACACGTGCTCAGTGCACGTCATCATGCGAAGTTGACTAGCATTTTTTGATTTCTTGATACGGCACAGATAACTTAAGACGGCAACTTCTGAAACCTATTATTGTAAATTTTCACCGATTCAGACAGGCAAGTCAGCTCTCATGACCGCTTCATTCAAAGACTTACCAAGAGAAAACTATGCATAACTCATGTGGTTATATCAGACGTTAATTAGCTAACATTTTTTGAATGCTTACTGGGTGCCAGGCACAATAATAATGTTTTCACATACTTTAACTCACAAGAATTCTATGAAGTAATTTACAATTATTACCCCTATTTTACACATGAGAGACCAGCTGTTGTTTGTACCTTTGCCAAACTTGAATTATTAGTAATAGATCATTGTATAAAGACTTAGAATATCGCTACTCATACTTTCCATTTATTTAGTAACTTTCTTCCTAGAGAGATAAACTTCAAAGTCTTATATAAAAATTATCAGAAACAGTAAGCCTTCAGAGTCGCTAAGACATTTCATAACTGCAGAACAAAGCAATGGCCACCACTCTATTTACCCTGATGTGAAACTGAATCCAATCTTTTCTAAATGTTTTCTTGTATCAGAACTGTTAGAAAAAGTCTACTAAACTTGGTATTAAATGTTTTTGAGCAATCTACAGCGGCATCCGATCAAATTGCCTCTGAGATATACTCTCACTGTAGGTTGTTTCTGGAACGAGGTTGGACGGGTAAGAAAAATTACAGCACGGACATAATTCCTGTGCTTGCTGCCTTTCATGTGCACGTTTTCTTCCATCAATTCCATCTATGTGCATTTTTCCTCAAAACAAACAGACCTAAGGTTTAGAGCAGAACCAAGATATAGGGAGCTAAGCAACTTGTCCAAGTCCCACAGGGTACAGGCAGTGGATTCAACACTGGGGTATCTGGCTGTGCAGTGTTCTCAGGCACTACACTGTCCAGTTTTCTTAGTTTTTTTATTATCACTAGATTTGTTAGAAATGAGGAGAAATGAACAGTAATGCAGAACTAGTAAAAGTTCTCTAATAAAAATGTCTTTAAAGTCCCATTGAAGTAGACGCAGAGAAGGAAATAGGAGATTACTGTCTGGACATACTCAGTGAGGAGGAACTAACTAGTTATGACCGGACACGGAAGCCACTAGCAAGCTGTTTAAGGAACAGGTGAGGTCCAACTTTATACATGTAGAAGCAAATGACTGCTTTTATGAAAACTTCTGTTCAGTGGGTGGAAAGATTGTTAAAGAAATGTATCTGCTTGGCTAAAATGGTTTCCATACAAGAGGGACAAGCATGGCCACAAGAGAGGCTGGGCCATTGCTATGGTATGGCAGGTAAAGCTGCCGATTCCAATGGAGCTGATTGGATTCCGAGCTGCTCAACTCCTAATACAGCTACTTGTTCACATACTTTGACAAGCAGTGGAAGATGCCTCAAGTCTTTAGGCCTGAATTAATCCTTCATTTGCTTTCCTATACCATTTTTATTGTGTTTCGTTCAGCCATTATGGGTGTTAAAAATTTGAAAGACAAGAGTTGCGCCAAGAAAGTGAGAGAGAAATCCATTGGTTAGTTCACTTTCTAAGTAGCTGCATTTGTTGGGGATGGGCCAGGCGGAAAACAGGAACCTGGAATTTTTATGACACCTATGCATTATTTCTGTAAGGCGGGATGACTTCAAGCTGAAATCTGAATAATCATGAAAAAGAATTAAACTCATCATAGTGCTTCTTTAACTTAGTTAAACCTCTTGGTTCAGATTAATGATTATCAACCACCCAGTAAGGCAGTTTTAGGTCATGTTAAAACATTCCCAAGTGTTGACAGGAAGTACTAGGCTGAAACTTTATTTCCACAATACAGGATTTTTTATAAGGATGATGAATTATGGTAAATGAATAATCTTTTTTTCTATACGGTAATTTTACAAATGCATCACTGAAAATTTAATGCATAAAAATGAAATATTCTTGCCATCAGAAATATTCATTAGAAATGTGGACTATGTACCTGATATATCCACACTTACTGGTATCTGGGAGACATTGAGAGAAACTAACAGGACATCACAGAGATAGACACACATCTATAGTGAAGTGTGGACGCAGGTGCACACACATGTATGGGACATTAATATATAACCCACCTCACCCAAAGACTGTGAAATCATGGAATAATGTCATTCTAGAAGAAGGCCATTGAGCCCAAGGATCTGTCCACAGCCCCGTTTGAAGCAGATATGACACATGTGCAGCAACTTTCTGGAGAATCCTAAGCTAAGCTGGCTTTACAAGACATTGACAAAGGTAGCATGGAGGACGATATGCTTGCCTTGGGGACTGAGTTTGACCCTCCCTACCATGCAGACTCAGCGTCTGATATATTAGTTTTAAAATGCTAATATGTCAAGTCTGAGTTTTATAGATCTTAGAATGGAAGCTTTAAATGCTAATTTGTTACTGACTGCAGTAATTCCTTAAATAAACTTTGCATAATACTTGCTTAGCAACTGCAAAACTGAACGGATTTTTAGGTGGGAAAAGATCACTCCACATTCTCATTGCATGCTTTCATGTTATGCCAAGCAGCTCTGATATATGTACAACCCTTAAGGCATCTCCATTTTAATGTTCTTTTAAAACTACCATGGTAAGGTTTTTTGTGTGTGTGTCTTTTTTTTTTTTTTTTTCTAGATTCCCAAATTTGGAGTAGTAGCAAGACCTGCTTGGAGCTCCAAGCACTGCTATCCTTGACTGTTTAAGTTGAAACCTTGTAGGAGCCTCTGTATCTCTAACATAGAAGCTTATGGAAGCATAATGGATTAGTGCCTGAAACACCATCATTTCATTGGTTAGCGTCCTGGTTGCTCCACTTCCAATCCAGATTCCAGCTATGCGCCTGGAGAAGCAGCAAAAGCTGGTCCATACACCCATGTGGGAGATCTAGATGACCCAGGCCACTGGGGGATCTTGGCAGAATAAATCAGTGATAAACCAGGATTTCAGCTGCCAGTACAACTTGGCAAAGATAGACAAAGCAAATCCTATGAAGTCTTACGTGTAGATTAGTTAACCAAGGAAGATTCTACTGAGGTCTCTCGGAGTATAAAAACCACTGTACTTACGAAGTAGATATTTGTTCTGTATTATGACTCAGTGTGGTGGGAACATTAAAAGTAAGGAAAAGAATGCGTGATGAGATGAGACCCAAAGCACAGATGTGGGGTTTACATCATCTAACTTTTCTGCTGAAATACTTGGTAACTCATTGAGAAAGGGCATCTCCCCAGTGAACACAGCCGTGCGTGTCATGAGTCAAAAGATGAGCTGGGATTGAACATTTCCCAGCACTGATGGGAATGCTGCAGCGTTGGGGACAATGAATCGGAACGTATCATAATAAGATTGCCTTAAATCCTGAGTATAAAGACATGAGAAATAAACAATCTGTAAAATGCTCTGCAAGCTATCTGAATCTGCATGATTTGGAACAATGACTGGTAAAATTATGAATGTGACTCCTGGCACGTGCCCAAGTTGGCTGAAAAATAAAAGAAATACCAAAGATCTTTCTCCAAAACAGTCTGTGATTCGTCCCCCAGTTGATCTTGGAAAGTTTCCCTTCATATTTTGAAAATTTTTAACTTTGAAAAAATTTGTCTTTTTTTTCCTTCTAAATATTTTTTTTTTTTTGTATGCAAAGCAAAGCTTCCTTGACCACCCTGGATGTACATTAGAAGTATAAGCTTTTTAAATCCCTAATTCTCAGGTGTTTAAATAAGATTTTGATTTGGAAAAAAGAAATGAAAACAAACTATTTGTAGACCTGCTTTTTTTCCATGAAGCCTACATCTCCACCCAAAACATGAATCCAATTTCAATGAGCTGCTTCATTGTGAGACCCAAGTCACTGGATTAAACCCTGGAGAAGTAGATGCTCACCTCATGATATTTTTTAGTGACTTTGCTGGGGACACATTGGCATTCGTTGCAGTTGTGGAGACAACAGGCACAATTTCCACCACAGCGTTTAACCAGCAGGCAACCTGGCCAGAAAATGGTATCGGTTCTCTTCAATTCTTCCCTTATGGACACGGAGAAGTTGCGCGGTGTGCAGCTGTAAAGTCTCACCTCCTCTTTCAGAAGGTTCAGATCCACCACTAAAAGACACAGGAGAAATGAAAGGGGATTGGATGCCCACATTGCAGGCTTCAATGGACTTCATTCAACTCCTTGTATTACAAAAAAAAAAAAAAAATCTAGTTATTTCATGAACAATCGCCCCAACAATATTCCTTCTTATTTTAACTAGGTTTTTCGGGCTATACAGTTCACAAATTGAACTTTCTATTTCATTGTAAACAAAGCTTCATTATTCTTCATTATGACTAAGTGACCAATAAAGAGATGCTGTTGTGCAATATTAAGAACAGAGCCAAAAAGACAGTTGAGAGCTATAAATAGGAAACTTTATAGAGGAAAGAAAAAAAAAGGCTGTTCCTTTTAACCTTAGTTTAAAAAAAAAGTAGACAAGGAGAGCATTGGAGGGAAGACTAGAATGTAAAAGGATGAATGCTTTGATTTAAAAGCCAGCACAATTTTTAAAGGGACTACAGGCTCATATAATTAATGAAGAACAAGTTAGTGCAACCTGTCAACAAAGCTTTCTATGTAATCGTTAAGACGGAGGGAATCATAACACACATTTGAAAAAAAAAAAGAACACTTGAAGACATTCAAGTGGACCAGGAGTGACTAAACTATACATTTTCAACATTTGTCGAAAAGCACAGCTTCAAACACACTGAGATTTAGATTAACTGGATTCCCTCGGGTTTCTATCCTTCCCTTGCTAAGAGATGGAAGAAACGCCTAATTTATAACCATTGTGTCTACTCTTTCAGAAAGTTGTTTAACTATATTGTGCTTTATTTGAAAAGAATACCTAATTGTGAAGACCAAACAAAATACTCTTTCTTCCAATGGCTGCAGTAAATCCCTGAAATATCACCGTTTTTAACTACAAAATGAGAGTGCTTTAAGAAAATTATTTCAAAGCAAAATGTCATGTTTAGTATAAATTTATAACTAACACATGAATATCAGTTAGTTCATAAGACGGATACCCACAATTACGATCTCCGTATTATAGTCCTGCCTATTTTGTCCCCCTCTGGGACCCTTCAAATAAAATAACTCCAAAAAAATCTGAAGAGTTTCAGGCAACGAAAACTGCTTTAGGTTTGTATTTTCAAAGCTAGTTTTCTTTTAAATTATCTAATAAATATTGTTAAAACCTTTTCATTCATTTGGAACACAGAACTATGAACTGAAGGAAAAATGCTTTCCAGGAGAAGATGGCTTTACTGGAAATAATCACAATGTAAATGTTATTGTAAATAATATATAATAAATAATATCATAAAATGTTAATGTAAACATTACAAAATATTTGCTAAATTCTTCCCTATTGTTAGAATGGCAAGGTAACTAAGAACCAAATGTTTGTTTTCATGGCGTTATCATGCACACAATCAGGATTTTGTGAACTGTGAAAGGGATGTGATTTGAGCATTTCCATGAAATTGAGGATAAGATGATGCACATGTAATTATAAATGACAAACATGCACAACAGAATGGACTACACCAAGGTGAATTATCGGAGAGCTACAGGCAGTGCTAGCTCAAAGTGCCCATTTCAACACTCAGTTCAGCTAAAAATCCTCTTTCAGTGTAGTAGAAAATCATGGATGTGAATGATTCCTTTTTCATCTGAAAATGGTCCTGTGAAAGCAAAGCTTTGAAAAATTTAAAAGCAAGTGAGTTCGTCCTTAGCAGCATCTTGAGGAGACCAACAAATTTGCTAGTAAAGTTAATGAGATTATTATACTAAATGATGTCACATTTTCCTGATATCATCTTGCTGAACAGTATATGCATACATTCCTCTTTTGTTGTTAAAACCACATACTGATCTATTTGAAAGTCCTCCCTAGAAGTGACTACACAAAGCAAGAAAAACTTTAGGACATGTACAAACTTAAAATCTGCTTGTCAAATTTTTCCATGTTTAAGATGTTTGTTTCTTTTAAGAATCTATGAAATTGTTAGTTTTCAAAGGCCAGTCACCTACCTCAAATAGACACATTATTAAACACATTATTTCATGAAATAAAAAAAGAGAGAGACTATGTTCCCTTTAAAATGTTTACTAACTCACAATAAAAGGCTAGATTGGCTTCCCAAGGGAACTAAATTGTGGTACCTGTTACAATGGGAAAGCTTCAACACACTTTCACCTTAGCTGCCACTCATTTATCATGTTTGACAAAAAGTCAAAAACTCATTTTAAGTACTAGTTAAGCTTGACTTGGAAAAAAAAAAAACCTGACTTTTAAAAAAACTTTCTGGTGCAGTAACAACATCTGAATAAAAATCCCAAACCCAAGGAATTAAAAAACAAAAACATGAACTTAGTCCACAGTGGGCTAAGAATGCAATTAGGAATTTTAAATCCGGCACACATCATATTTGAAACTTATGTCTCCCATTCCTACGGTTTTAAATTCACACAAACTTCATTAAAATAAATCATACAACTAGAATCTTGTGTCATAAATTCTCACATGTTGTCCAGAACTTCTAGGCAAAAAAAAGAAAGAAAGAAAGAGAGAGAGAAAGAGAGAGAGAGAGAAAGAAAGAAAGAAAGAAAGAAAGAAAGAAAGAAAGAAAGAAAGAAAGAAAGAAAGAAAGAAAGAAAGAAAGAAAGAAAGAAAGAAAGAAAGAAAGAAAGAAAGAAAGAAATACAGTGGGACAAAAAAGCAAATAAACAAGAAAGAATACCAAAGAGGAAAAAGAGATCATGGCCCAACTAGACATTTTTGTAGGATAACTAAGATTTTTTTCCCCTGTGAAATCACTATAAAATATAAGTCTGCTTTCAAATTCTTCCTCCTTTCCATCATTGGTTCTGAAGACAATGCAGGTATTGTTTCCTTGTTCAATAAAGAAGACGTTGGACACATCACCAGTCAATGTCGTTATTCCTAGCGCAAATATTATGAATATTGTTAAGTTTTACCACAAAGGCTGACACTGACAGAAAAAAAAAATCATGACCATGTTTCTCTTTGTTAGTTGTTCATTCCTTTAAGATACTTGATCTAAGGATATTCTCTTACTTTAATGCAATCTGAGGGTGGTCTTTCTAAGATGAATGTGGTAACACTGTGATATGTTTATTCTGTGGAAAATCTATTTCAGTGTCTAATTAGAAGCTTTTAAAAAGGGTTCCTCCTTGTCTCTCTGTACAAAGGCTCTCGGGATGCAAGTTGGCTTCGTCTGCATGGATGTTAACCCACACCTGCACGTTAGTTTACGTAGAGTTCCAAAAATATACACTGCTTTTCTCGCACTTACTATGTGCTTAAAACGTTAACAGTTTTGGCAAACTGCAAAAGGCTTCAATTTGGAAAGTGTTAAATGAAGATTTGAAAGGTGTGTTCAGCGCGGAATGCTCTGAGTGCATGCTAGCCTCTGGCCAAGTCTTGTTGGAGCATCAGGTTTGAAGATTCGTGCATAGGGCCTGGTGAAGATTGAGATTTCTGAGATGGAACCTAGAGATTAATACTTTTCATCCCCTTGCTTCTTACAGATCAAGGTGCTAGCAGACTTGGAATTTTCTCACAAATGCTCTACTCGTGGATGTTTGAGCTCGTCTCCCAGATTTTCATTTTCCTCTGCCTAAGTGGGAGGGATGGGGAGTGTCGTTCAGAACTTACTTAGCAAGTTGCTCATCAAGATCAAATCTTACAAATATGCATTCGTTTTCAGCATGTGGACAGGGTTCTGCCGTCCTTGGCAACCACTGCCAAGAGGAATCCACATCTGCCTGCGTGCCAAACACCAACACTGGGCAAGCCAGAACAAGCTCTGCTAAGAGGAAAGCTCCAGGCCGGAAAGGGTTGTGGCTCTCCATGTGGGAAAGGCAAGAATCCAGTTTTTTCTCACAAGATTAAGAAGAGCAAGTCTGAATCAATCTATTCTGAAGAATGTCTCAAATTCACCAAAGATGCTTCCATCCTCTGAAGTGACCAAGGGCACATTTTAATGCCTATGACAGAGTTAGTCAGATTTTCTTCCTACTTTATGATGATTCAGTTATTACACATATTCACTTGTGTCCATGATAAGAGTTGTTCTGACTCTCATGGCATTGGGACAATCGAGCTAGCCTCGTCGAAAATACAGGGAATATTATTTCCAATGTCTAGACCATGTGGAATTAGATTTAATCACCAGCACTTTCATTTTTAAAAGGAGATATGATCACAGAATCAAAAGCAACTTTTTATAGAAAACAAATGTCATCAGAATGTGACTTCCTTGAGGTCATTTTTTTTTTTTTTTGCCTCGAGAGCCATTACTATGTATCAAAGTATTTAGAACTTTTTGGTGTTAGGCTATTGAAACTGAGATACCTTGACCCATGTGAGATGTAGTGAGCAGTAATTATTTTTATATCTCCCATTACTAGCCCCAAACCGGGCTTCATGGCTCCTGCAAATCGAAATCAGTGTCTTTCAAATGCTAGGATTTCATAAGCAATCATCCATAGAAAATGCAATGGAAGACTTCACAAAAATGGTATTCTGTGAAGATAAGAACTGCAGTATTTTTCAGTAGAAGTATCCTTTTTGAATTTTTGAAGTCCACTAAATTATAATGAAGTGCCTCTTTCTCTGTACACTTTTTCCATGTTATGCCTGAATGATAAGAAAATGAGTTTGTTTAGACTTATCACTGAAGGATTTCCAACTCTTCCCGCTTAGAAGCTGTGGCTGAAGCATCTGAACCATTCGCTGCTCAGCAGCTTTAAAGGAGGGCTTCATCTGAAAGGGGAGCTTACCTCTGGATTTTCTTCCAAAAACAAAAGCCTTGCCAAGAAGTTGCCACGTTGGCCTGTACAGATCCTCCAAGTCCAGCTGCCACCTGTCTGGCTCCAGATAGCGGATAAGATCCTCCAAGGTGCTAAAGGCCGTGACAGCATTGTTGAGCAGGTCGAGCGGCAATGCAGCCGGAGGCAGCACTGAGGGGCTCACAGCCTCTGGGAATTGCTGAAAGGGAAAGGAGCCCTGTGTTAACTTGGAAACAGGACAAAGCACTCCCGTTGGACTTGCGCACAAAGTTACAGAGACTCCAGCCTGAAGACATACACAGCATGAAACTGTTCTCAACCCAAGGTACAAGTCATTACTGCTCAAGGACTTCATGGACGTGAACTTCATGAACACGACAGAATTTCCATGAACATAAACCATTGCGAATGGGGGCATCTTGCTGATACGAAAAAAAACAAAACAAAAAAAAACGAAAATATCTCCATTGCTCAGCTATGCAGCTGCACTGGAACTGTGATATAATTTCCCAAGTTTTCCACTTCTTCTTCACTTTTCATTTTCATCAGCTTGGAAAATATCATTTGATAGTGTTAGATGAGTGTAAAACTTCATATAAAATAATCTATAAGAACCAGAGCAGAACGTAGAGGAGAGTCTTTTGACATGGGAGAAAAATGAGCAAGACAAAAAATGCCTTCAAAAGATCATGTGTATACGTTTGCTTACAATATGTCTGACGTACAAAAGACGTGGCGGGCAAATCAAGAAAAACAGACAATATATGAACACCTGGTGGAACATACATGTCACAAGATTAATACCCAGAATTGATACTAAAAAAAAAAAAAGACAAATAAGGAAAATTGGCAAATTCCAGCCCATAGGTTTGAACAGCCAATTAAACCAATGAAAATATGTTAATCAGTAGTTAACAAAAAGTGAAAATAAAATAATACTTTATACACAAAAAGTAGATGCTTCAATAGTGCATTCTTTTGTTCCTCGACCTATAGAATCGTGTCATTTACAAATACAGAAAATTTGACTTTTTCCTTTCCTATTTCCATGTCTCCGACCCGTTTTCCATGCAAATTGCTGAAAAGGCAAACTTGCAGAAAAGTAATGAATAAGTAATGCATGAATAAGTTCAAGGCGGCATTGGAAAAAGCCTTTGCCTGGTCCCAGCTCTCTGAAAATGCTGCCATATCTTCCCCCCAAAATAAGATGCTGATTCTGAATTTGCTACGAAGGGGTAAATACATTTGCTGAAACATTACGTGCAAACTTTGAACAAAGTGATACAAATACTGTGGCACAAGGAAGCAAATGTATTTACTCCTACTGAGGTGATCATGGGGTTTTAAAAAAACTCGGTCACTGTTGATACAATGCATTTATAGATTTGCATATGTTGAACCATCCTTGCAACTTTAACTGCTAAGCTACCACACCGGACCCAGCCTCTCGTCTTTTCTTAATCACTAGACTACTGCCCATGTTGAAAATATTCTCAATGAGACCAAGGTTTAAAAAGCACACCCCTGCAACACAACCACACAAGTCCGTCTCCCAGGTTTGCCCCTCCCCCGCCCCCTCCGTTGAAAAGAAAAACAAAACAAGAAGAGATAATAAACAGACTTATCCAGGAGACCAGGAGCAGTCCCTCGAGACAAGAGAGGAAGTGCCAATTCTATTTAAGGCCTTGTCATGATGGTCACCCCACCCACCGGCTCAAGAAACAACCCAGTGGCTCACTGTGCACGGTGTGCGTTCTCAGAAAGAGCGGGCATGGGAAAGAGCGGTTACCAAACATCACTGAGCAGTACAGACTAATACCTTTTCTTCCTTTATTTACTTCCCCCAAATTTCTGATAAGTTAGGTATTTTTAAAAAAAAAATACTTAGAATGGTTCTGTTAAACAAACTAAATATGCATAGGGTGCCTCAGAGGTGCACTTTAATTCAGATCTCACACTTTCTCTTTGCCACTAAAATTTTACTTCGAGGTTATGTGCTGCGCTTCAACAATTCAGTGCATGCCGATGGGCAAGGACTTTTTTTTTTTTGGATCTCTGTAACAGAAGCCATTGAAACAACATCTTGACTTTTATAAGCTGGAGGGAAGTACCTGCCGGGCAGAAATGACAGCTCTGCTTACGTTCTGTTTAGTATTTCATGAGGACACATTGCCAAAGACAGAAATGGGATCTGAGTTCTCCACGCAGTGCAGTGTCCTGTCAAACAACTTCTTTCTAAAACGTCAACCAAAGCTAGGAGGATCCTAAACCAAACCAACGCCTTCACATCATTGCAAAGTTTCTGTGAATGTCAATATGACATCAAAGAGCATCGCCGAGGAGCCAACAAATGCCCGAACATTCCCCTGGAGTTGTTCACAATTGGGGCAAATGCCTCAACTTCCCAACACCTCATTTTCCTAAAGTTTGTGTAAAATGCAATTAAAATCTAAGTAAATCTTATTGCCAAAACGCTTTGAAATCCAATCATAGTTTCCTCAGAGTATACTTATTCCACGAGCTTCAAAGCACCCCAGAACTCTAAAGTACTGAAAATACACAGGTATTTATCCTACCCGTTAAGGAGTCAAACACCCTACCAAGGAATGTCTAATTGAGGCAAATGAATTTTCTGGTGTTACAAAGAATTCAGTCCATGATTAGTCATCTGAAGTCCTACGAGACACATGCTGTGGGATGGGCTGAATTGTATCTGCCTCAAACTGCTGTGCCTATCTCTTGCTATTCTCTAGTCCCTCAGAGTTGGACAGTATTTGGAGACAGTCTTTAAGAAGATAAATAAGGGACCCAGCATGGTAGCCTAGTGGCTAAAGTTCTTGCCTTGAACACACGGGGGATCCCATATGGACACAGGTTCCAATTCCAGTAGCCCTGCTTCCCGTCCAACTCCCTGCTTGTGACCTGGGAAAGCAGTCGAGGAAGGCACAAAGCTTTGGGACCCTGTACTCACAAGGCAGACCTGGAAGAGCTCTTGGCTCCTGGCTTCAGATAAACTCAGCTCCAGCTGTTGCAGTCACTTGGGGAGTGAATCAGCAGATGGAAGATCTACCTCTCTGTCTCTTCTCTCTGTATGTCTGATTTTGCAATAAAAAAAAAAATAAATCTAAAAAAAAAAACAGAAGATAACTGCTAACATAATGTTATTAGGACGTACCCTAATCCAACATGGCTCATCTCTTAGCAAGGCATGAACAGGTGCCTAGGCAGGATGCTGAGAAGATACAAGAAGCCAGGCCTGCAAGCCTAGAACAGAGGCCAGAGAAAGTAACGCTGCAGACTCTTATCTCAGACTTCCAATATCTAAACACATATCCACATATCCCTCAGTGAAGGCAGCCCATCCGAAGCTTGACTCCGCTGAGAGAGCTACTCAACAAAGTCACCAGCTTTTGCAAATGATCACAGCAGTAGGCAAAAGTTCATAGTAGGCTGCTGTATCACATGACCTCTCAGACCTCCAGGAAACAACCTGTGAGATAAAAACGTGAACCACAAAGACCCAGTGCTCTGCTGCGTCGTCCAAGGAGGGATTTTCCTCTTGCCAGAACAAAGCCAAACTGCACATGCGTCATTGTGAGTCCCATGAGCAACCCAACTGCATCTCGAAACGCTGGCGAATGCAGTCCATGAAAAGCAACATGTCATGAAAGGGTAATTGACAGACAAATGTATTTTACATTTTATTATTGCAAACAAACAGGTGACGATTTCAGATGAAGTAATTATCAGAAACAAACACGATTTCAGATGAAGTAATTATCAGAGGAACTGATGTGAAGCTCAAGACAGCAAATTTAGCTGCAAAAAATAGATTTCTGTATAGGCTTCTCTGGGATGACTTTGTACAATCACAGCTTACTATATTATATTTTATGATGACTATTCTAAATACTCTGCACATTACCATTTTGTTCCTTTATTTTAGAAAAGGCTGACTTCCTGTTTGCAACAGTCCTGAACTGCTTATACTTTCAAAATAAACAGTTGCTTATCTCTGAGAACCATAATCATCTTATTAGGGTTTTTGTGGTGAGGACCATTTTAAAAATATAGCATTCACAATGAATCTTCCTGGGATAAATACACAGACATTAATGTTTACCTCGAGTCACTTAGCAACTGCTGCAAAACTTTTAAGGCTATCCAGACTTATGTTGCAGCTTTCCTATTAGTCAACTGCACGCAATACCTTTCAAATCAATGTTTTAAAAAGTCTTTCATTCATTCTAATGGCATATCAGAAACGCAGGTTAAAATTTATCGGTGCAGTTAAAAGCAAAGCAACCAGACGTTGTGTTGGACCAATAAAACACGGTGTATGGTGGAGTACCACTCCTTGAAGATGTGTTCAGTCTGATTCATGTGTCAAGCTGATCCACTGCCCTTGTAGAGACATCTAACTGATGTCAAACAGGAGGAGCAGACAGAGACGCCTGCCAGGAACAAGTGATGGGAGGTTGTGTCAAGACACAGGAACTGCTTGGACAATTCATGTAAGCATGTTTCTTGGTCTCCCCCGCCCCAACTTCTTATCTAAAGTCATTCCCAAAGTTGTCTGGGTTATGTTTTTAAATTATTTTTAAGCCATCAAAGAAAAGCAAATGCTTGCATTCCTGCTTAAGAACAGATGTTTTAATACCATGTGGGAAATGAAGATTATGTGTTTAAGGGAGAAATCCCAGGCCAACTATATTCATAGCAAGTCTTAATATTGAATGACTCTTCCCAAAAGAGCACAGCAAGGACGACAACTTGATATATCTGAAGGAGCAGTCCCCGAGAGAGTGCACTAGGAACCTAGAAACTGTCTCACTCAGCACCTCAGGAAAGCCCTCACTCCCAAGGTCAGGGCCAAAACTGAGACCTTTGGGGCCGTAGCTTTCCTAGTTTCAGGAAAACCCTGAAACCCAATAGAATCCTGCCCAGATCCAAATAGGGAGAAGAGATGACTCGTATTGCCAAAACCGCTATCCTAAATGTGAGTAACGTTTATGGGCATTAAGCCAGTGTGCTAAGTGGAGAGATGCAACAATCGCTCCTGCCTCCATTTTCCTATCAGCATGGAACTTGAGAACCTCACAACCTCACGACAGTGGCCAATGAAGACATCACTTCGAGGAAGCCGCATGCCGAGGAAGGAATTTTACCCTGGAATTCAGCTCCTTCTTATTGGCACAG